CCGCCCCCCTAGCCCCGCTCCTCTCCCTTCTTCGTGTCGTGGTGTCGAGAGTCCCGTTGGTGTTTTTCGATGTGCTCGAAACACACGACGTTTGTGGCGAGGCTTGTAGCCTGTAGCGGAGCACCTTCCCCTCGACGTTGACGCCACCGTTCATCGTTCGTCTTTACGTGCACTTTGCTCTGGGCTTGTTTGCGACTGAAAGGTATGGAAAGCGCGCGTGTTTGGCAAACGTGGTGTTTTTCCCGTGTCCATGTTGTATTTTGGGCTGGTATGGCTTCTTCCCGTCACCAGGGGTTGAAGGGTTGGTGGTGTGAACCGACGATAGCTACGAGTTACCAACAGCAAGACCGCCCACAACGGCAACGACATCAGATCGACAAAACCAGTAGGAACGACAGCAACACCCCACAACGCTCCACCCAATAACAGCATCACCGTGATATGATACTAACAGCAACAGCAATCATCGCCCCAACCGACCCGGGGTCTACCATGTTCTGCTGTCCACAGACCACGACTGGCGACACCACGCCTGAGGGGTTCCGACGCATTTCTGCCCTGATCAAGGGCAACAACCAGGTCTCGTTCGACAGGTTCATGGCATCACTTTCCTGTGGAACCAAGCTCAACCTTGCCGACGTCGAGGTATTCCGTTTCGGGTCCGGAAAAAAACTTTGGGAGCGTCTCAGCAAGTGCCCCACGAAGATGAACCAAAGAGTAGAGGCGACTGAAACATATCGCTCACCGAGAAGAGCGGCGCCGCTTTTTCCCCATTTTTTTCCCCCCCCGATTCTGGTTCCTTGGTCTGTTCGACGGTGAACTTACGAGACCTAGCTTGCTTCCACGGGGTGTTGAACACGCGGGACAGTATGACCCGTCTCCTTATTGAATCCTCCTTCAGCGTGCGTGTTCCTCCGCAAGCTCCATCTCACGCGACGCCTGCGGCCTTCGAGCAACGCGCCGTCCTGTTACGCACGTAGTGATGGAATACCCTACACACGATGGGCTTGTGTCTGCAAAATGAGTGGTTTGAAAAACGTCTGCGCTGGAAAATCGAACGCAAGGCACTATTTTTTTGGTAGTCCGTACCATTTCCGAGCACTTGCTCTTGAAAAAAGAGGCCACGTCAGCTCACCCATCCCCTGTGCAGCCCGCATCTTGCCACTACTATAAGATCATCCCCCTCGACAACCAACCAGCCTGGATACAAGACCGCGCTCGTTTCATATACAAAAGGCAACAGAGGAACTACATATTCACTCCTGTTACAATCCTTCCAGCCCTGGCTGCGATCTATGTACCGTTCGTACGTTTTCGGCGACCAAGAAGTAATTACTGCTACAGCGGGGGTCCCTGTTTAGTGCCGGTATGTGCCCAGAAAAATCACCGGCACCACACCGGACCGCCACTATTCTAAGTACTGACAATGACTTGGAAATTCAGTGTGTTCCCGTCGAAAACACCGGCAGTATACCGGGCATTGGCACTATTTAACCGGCACGAAACAGATACCCTCACTGTACTTGATTTCTATCCCTACCCTTGGCAAACGCCCCGCTTACACCCCTGTACTTCAAAGGTGTTAACCCGCGAGTGTCACCGCCAGATGGCCTCCCTCATTGACGAGCGCGCCTCGGGGTCTTCACTTACCAACGCCGGTGCGCAAGCTGGGGGAAGCGGTAGCGGTGGCGGTGGGGCGGGCGGTGCCTCGTCTGCTCCTCCTCCTTCTCTCGGTGACAACGCCAAGAGCGACCATGCCGGAGAAAGGGTGCCTGGTGGTGAGAACGCGGCGACCCTGCCGGACCTCGCCCCTGTCCAGAACATGGCTGTCGCAGACGCTCTCCCGCGCTTCGTGAATGCCCTGCTGCATCAAAAAGAACAGGAGCAGCAGCAGCAGCAGGAGCAGCAGCAGCAGCAGCAGCAGCAGCACCAGCACCAGCACCAGCACCAGCAGCACCAGCAACCGGGCCTCCCGAAGTTTACTTTCGGGAAAGCACGTCCGGTGCCTTCATCGCCACTTGGACGGAGAACAGTGGCTACCAGCACGGACCGCGACGAGACCGGGGGGGCTGCGGTGGCGGCGGCGGCGGCTGCAACGGTCTCGCCCGCACGCTGCGGAGAAAGCTACATGTCGGCGGTAAGACAAGCACACTTTTCGGTTGGAAAATCACAGCCAATGAGAACGCTGTTGGGGTTTCCTTGCCAGGTTCCATCGCAGTTCCAGCAGCACGAACAGCTGGCAAGCACGTTTTTGTTGTTGTTGTTGTTGTTGTTGTTGTTGGTGTTGGTGTTGTTGTTGAAATGCACTCAGCGCTATCGGGTGAGATGCTTTTCACTTCCGTTTTCAATTACTGGCATTTCGCATGCAACATGCCTGTCGACATCGCCAAGATGATCCCCAGATCTGCCTTCACTGCCAGCCCTTCGACAAAGAAACGCGACATCTACTCTTTACGAAACTTCTTCGTGTTCTGCCTACCTAACGGAAGAGTCTGTAAACACCCGCATGATGTTCAAAAGGGGGACTATAGGAGATACAACGGTGGTAACATTGTTCGGTTCCCTATCCAAGGCCTCCTCACTGGCACCACTACCAAAAAAACGAGAGCAAGAGAGGCACCGCGAGACCTTTTACGGGTGTTGATCTTAGCGGCGAAGACTCAGTCTCGGTACACAACTAATCTTCGCAGTGAGTGGCGATACCACAGCATATCAGTGTTCGCTTGCGTGAGGTTTTAGGCGATACTTGTGTGGTGGTAAAGCTACCACACGGGGTGGGTGGGATGGAGTCAAAGAGGCTAAGGTGCATGAACGCAACCCGCTGTCTCCGGTAAACACCCCTACATCTGGTGGAATCAAAGGGGAAATAATTGATTCTCACCTTTTTCGTAGTGGGAGCGAGGAACAGAATAAAAAAAAACATTTCCCCGCCCAGTTCCGTCTATGCTTGGTCGGAGGTCGAATTCCAAGAATAAGGTAGGACTTAAAGACATTATTTAATCCTCGCAAGGCTGAGGGGTGTGGAAAAATCACCGCCCACCGACGCACGGCTGGGGTTTGCGTTGCAGCGTCGTGGCGGTGGCGGTGACGGTGGCGGCGGTGTCAAGGCAACCCCTAACTCCGACGGCGGAGGAAACTTCCGGGAGACTTCTCGGCCGGGTCCTCAAGGACCCTGCCCGGCGTGCGAGGAGGAGGACGCCGCCGTCCAGAGGGGTGCTCTCGAAGGGTGCCAGGTGAGAAAAGCAGGCGTAGAAGGATGTGGCATGTCGCCTTTGCGTGGTGCAGTGCCCCTTCGCACCGACGAGGATCTTTTTCGCGTTGTGGTGCGATACAATCGTGGCCAATCAGAAAACTGGGGGTACATTTCTATCTCTCTACACTCTGCTGCGTATTAGTCGCAAGCTACACAAAACTTACCGAATCGAACTGAATCTCACAACAGTGACCCATGTTTTAGTTGTTCACGTTGTCATGCGGGAGGTGTTTGCGTCATGTACCATGACATCCAACTTTGCGGAGTCAGCGCTTCCTGTTCTGTGCCCCTTGAGCGAAAGATTGAGTCGAAACACAAGGCGTCCTGATGTGTAGGTGGGTGCGTGGGAAGAGTGTGGTGCTGTGACGCAAGTCCTCGTCACGGCCGGGGCCTCTTTCTTACCCTATCCCTCACATGCCTGCGAGAACAACATTTTTCTCAGAGAGAAACGGGAGGAGGGGTACGAGAGGACCCAGTCTCTTATGTAGTGGTGCGATTCACGGTGTTCGGAAGGGTGACGCCGATACCCCTCCTACCCATCCTCCAAGCTTCCCCCCACCACCTCGGCGTGCCCCTATCACCCTGCCGCTCATTGCTCCCGAAACACCGCTAGCTGCAGCGTCCAATCCGTGAACCCCCCCCCCCCCCCCCCCCCCCCCCCCCCCCCCCCCCCCCCCCC